CAATCCCCCAGCACCACATGCCAGCCAGCCCGCCCCCTGGTGGGCTGAGCTGGCCACACACACACACACACACACACATTAAAAAAAGAAGAAAGAAAGAAAGAAAGGGGGGGGAGAGAGAGAGAGAGAGAGAGAGAGAGAGAGAGAGAGAGAGAGAGAGAAGAAACTCGGGGCTGGGCATTTGGCTCAGCAGTAGAATGCTTGCCTAGCAAGCTGGATGCCCTGGGTTCGGTCCTCGGCACCAAAAACAAAAAACAAATAAATAAATAAAAAGAAACTTAAGAGCACACAAAGCATGGGAAGGTGAGGCTTTCCTGCCTATTCCCACCACCCCCGTCCAGCTCCTGCGCTCTAAGGAGGCAGAGCTACCAGTAAAGGGCTGCGACTGTCCTCCCTCCCTCCCTCCCTCCCTCCCTCCCCAAAGCTGTCAGCGGTGGGAGGCTTGGTGGGAGGCTTGGCTCTGACTTGTTTTCCCTCCCTTCACCTCCTTTCTTCTACTACCGCCACCTTTTCCTTGTCCTCCGTTAACAGTTTGTAGAAAGGCAGGGCCTGCCCAGGGCAGGCTGCGTACGCAGGCTGCAGACCCTGTCTCTAGGGGCCGCTGTTTCATCAGTGGGACAGCTGGATGCTCGCCCCAAGAAGTGCAGACTCGGGGCGACTCGCGCGCGGGCTCCCTTCCTCCTGCCACGCGTGGGTCGCAGCCTCAGCGGTGCTAGTGGCTCCAGACAGAAAGCCCTGGAAAGCACGAAAGCGAGTTTTACGCTCCGGTTAGCCCAGGAAAGCACGAAGCACCATTGCTCGGAAATGTTTTGGGCGTGCAAGTGCAGGAGAAGAGAGCAATCGAAGCTGGTTTGGCCACAGGCAGCCGTGTTCCTAAGACTCCTTAGAGGGCCGTTCGCAAGAGCTGACCTGGGGTACAGCGGGAGGCGCTGCCGCACACAGCACTGCTGCACCCTGCCGAGGACAGCGGAAGCGCTCGGTTCCCTTCCCTTCAGCTCCATTCAGCCTCGGTTAGTGTGAACATGTTCAGTCAGGCTAACGTACCATCTGCGTGTGTGCATGGCTGGGGCGTGCGCGCTACCTGTGAATGCACGCGAGCGTGTGTGAACGGGGGCCTATGTGAGCATGGCTTGTGCGTGAGCACGCATGCAATCTGCATGTGTACGCGTGTGCGTACGTTCCCTGCCTATTTGTAGGTGTGGGTTCATGGCTCGTGAGCATTCTTGTGTTCATACAGTGTAAATCTGTGCACTTGTGCTCCTTGCATGTATGCACACCTGCTTGTGTAAAAGCGTGCGCTCCTTTCGCGTGTTTGTGTAAACGTGTGCATGTGCTCGCGTGCTTCTTGCATGGGCCCCTGTGAGCGCTGGTGTCCGTGCTCGACTGCGCATGGGGCTCCCGCAGCTCGGGCTTTGGTTCTGGGAGGAGGAGGCCCCAGCCGCGTTTGTTTCCTTTAGTGGAGGCGCCCTCGTGTGGCCACTGGAGGCGTTGCCCCAAAAAACCACCTTAGCTCTAGTCCTGAATTGGGCTTTCAGTCGATAAATAAAAATTCCTACTAAGGTACAGAAATACTTGGCAAACTTCATAATTTACTTTGGGCCAGGAGAGGTGGTACACACCTGGAGACCCAGCCCCCTGGGAGGCTGAAGCAAGACGGCTGCTTGAGCCCAGTAGTGCAAAGCAGCCTGAGCAATTCAGCAGGAACCCATCTTCGAAAGAAGACAGCTGGGACGCAGGCTCTGGGACCCCGTCTCCAGTGGAGACGAGTGCGGCGGGCCAGGCTGTCGTGTCCAGGTTGGAAGCAGTTGGGGGCCACAGTCCTCTGGCCTCTTCTGGCTTCCTGCTCAGGGCTCTGGGCCTCCAGGCTTGCAGCCACTGCCAGCCTCGGCCTTAATCTCTTTATTTATTTATTTATTTATTTATTTATTTTATTTATTTTGGCGGAATCAGAGATTGAACTCAGACCCTGGCGCTTGCCAGGCAAGTGCTTATTCCACTGAGCCATCTCCCCGGCCCCTTGGCCTTAATCTCTTGCGCAGAGCCTGCTCCCCATGAGGCCGTGCCAGGGTCAGGACACACTGGCACACTGCAGAGCGCAGGCCGCCTCAGCTGGGCTGCAGAGCGGCAACCAGCGGTGACAGCTACCTCCCTGGGGAGTCCTGAGAGGGCCGTGCGGACCTGTCTTCTCTTGCCTCTATTGCCCTTGTCGCTGTCCCTGACCCTCCCTGGGCCAGCGTGTGCACACCAAGCCCCTCCTGCCCACAGAGGCTCCAGTCTCTCCAAGACCGCATGGCATGGCTGCCCCAGCCGACGTTCCCCGGCCTGTCACCTCCCCCTCTGTCTCATGCAGGAGAGGAGGTGACTTGCACCTGGAAGGGATGGAGATGGCTGGCACAGCCCAGCCCACAGCCCTGTGGGGAGGGGGCACACACTTCTCACTGGATATTCGGGGTGGCCACTGTCACCCATGCTGGCAATGCCACCCTTGGCCTGCAACCATGTCCTGGGAGCCCAGGCCCCTTGCTCTATCAGCAGAGCCAACAGCAGCCACCTGGTCCACCTCAAGGCCCCCCAAACCTGATCCCTGAGAGTGCCACAGCTCTGGCCATGACCACAGTGCAGAGCGCAGGGGCACCTCAGGGCAGCCATACATGCAGGGCATCAACCTGGTAGCACCTGTCCCCCAGATGGCAGTGGTTCCAGACAGAGGCCTGCAGGCTCCAGGGAGGGCACAGCCCAGGCCTGACCAAGCGGCAAAGGCTCCCAAGGAAGGGCAGGGGGGCCGGGGAGACGGAAAAAAAAAGGAAGGGCAGAGTCAGACTTAGAACCCAGACTTCATGCACAGGGTGGTGGCACAATAAAACCTGCTTTGGCAACAAAAACAGCTGCCCGCTGGGTCTGGCAGCATGCACCGGTCATCCCAGCACTGGGGAAGCTGAGGCAGGAGGCTGGCGAGGCTCATCACGAGGTCAAGGCCAGCCTGGGTTACCAAGTGAGCTCAAGGACAGTCAAGACTACACGGCAAAACCGTGTCTCAAAAAGACCAAAACAAAGCAGCTACCTAACCCTCCTTGAAGCCCACATTCCCGCCTGCTGGGACTCTAGACTATGGCTGAGTTTGCCAGTGGCCCTGCAGCTGAGAAACGAGAGCAGGGGCTGGGGAGGGGTCCTGAGGACCTTAGCACACCCTTCTTGTCACTCCCTGCTAAAGCATTTTGGGAAGGGACAGGATGTCCCCAGTGGGCTGCAGGGCACCTTGCAGCCACCACCACCCAGCATCCGAAGGTGACAAGCACAGCCGAGGGCATGATAGCCAGCCTTCACTGCACGAGCCTCTAGCACTTCCCACAGCCATCCACAGGAGTCAGTGACACAGCCTTGCAGGCTGCTGAGGAGTGGCGGGGCTGGCACTGTTTGGGGGTCTGGGGCCAGGTGTCCCACACCATGTCCTCCAGGAGCGGGACATGTGCTGCTGACCAGGGCTGCTGCAGTGACTGCAGCCGTGCCCTTCCCTGCGCAGGTGAGGAGCTGCTGCGGCCTGCAGCTGGCCCTGGCTCGCCACCAGAGGACACAGATCCCAGCCACTGTGGTGAGGGCTCACCACAAGCAGGCGCAGCAGGGCTGTGGCACGGCTGTGGTCTGCACTGGATGTCCCAAAGAGCCTCATGCAGTCACGGGGCAGCTTCTAGACTTTGTGATTAACCAGTGATCCAGTGCGGGGACTAGGGGGTGTGAGCGTCACCCCTCCCTGCAGCAGGCAGCCTGCGTGCCACGGGAGGGAGGGAGGAGGCTTGCCCCTGCTGCTTCCCCCATTTTGCTCTTGTTCTCCTCCTCCACACACTGCTGTCCTCTACCAGGCACCATGCCTCGGAGCCGGCCTGGTGGGGACTGAAACCTCCACACCGAGCTAAATAAACCTTTCCTTCCCAATTTTGGGTGTCAGGTATTTTGTCTAAGCAACGAGAGAAAAGTAATCAAGACAGACACCCTGCCACTTGCCACAACCAGCCTCAGGAGGTGTGGGATACAGGGAGCCACCAGCCTTGGCGACACAGGGGACCTGAGAAGTGAGGCCCATAGCTCATCTCTTCAGACAACTAGGTCACACCTCGCAGGAGCCTGGCCCTCCGCAGCCTCCACCAGGGCTGAGGAGGAGCCTCCCCAGCTGCCAGCAGTGTCACACAGCCAAACCCAGGACGGCTCTGCACGGGACAGCACTCATCTCCTGCTCCCAGACATGCCTCTACCCTGCAGAGGGAAACACGAAAGGCCTTTATTGTTTACATAACAGTCTAGTTTACCAATACCATAAATCAAGCAAGACCGCTGGACTCAGTCACACGTTTTATTTATGTAGGTAGCATTAACGTACATTATACCTCAGGGTGACAAGTTCCACAATAAGCACTCGATCCAATCCACCCGCCACCCATACCACCTCCCACCAAAACCAAACACAGACCCACATGACCACAGGTGACATCCATCCCAGGCTCCCAAGCTGCCGCTGGGGCATGGACCACACCAAGTATTTCTGGCTTCAGTGCGGCCGCGCTGGCCTGCGACATTTCTAACCACATCAACCCGCTTTCTGCGCTCCCACTTCAAAGGGGGCAGAGGAAGCGGCAGTGCGGACAGCACTTCCAGAGAACCGCAGGCAGGAAGCCAGGGACCCCAGAAATCTAGGTGGTGTTCAACAGAAACCAAGGGCTGAGCACTACATCATGTAGGTGAGGCGGTCTGGGGCAGCAGGGCAGCGCTCAAGAGAATGAAGGGGCCTTTCAGCGGGCGCTGTTTGCAAACTAAAATGCCTGGTACAAGCTGGTAGCTCAACAGCTGACTGTGCTCTGTGTGTGTGTGCGTGTCCATGCGTGTGCACAAGTAACCAGGCTGTTTTCCTCCAGTCCAATAACCCTGACCTACAAAAGCCAGAGAGTTTTGCTGAGCAGAACCTAACTTACTTTTTTAAAAAAAGAATCTCAACTATGAGATTAGCGAACACTAAACCATATACAGTCGACTCTGGACTCCCTGGAGAGAACTGGAACCCGGACAATAAATATAAGGAATGGTTTTACACCTGCAGTGACCGCGGAGGCCTGTCTGTGGTCACGCTGCTCTGAACAGACCGACAGCCACCAAACTGAGTGCAGTCACAGTATCTTAAGCTATGATGCATTCTAATTTCAAACCCCGGTGCCGCAGAGAGGACTGTCGTCTCCTGACCACAGGCCCATTCCCTGTCCATCCCGTGCTGGGCCTCGCAGCTACAACGACCTCAGGAAGAGGTACAGCGGTGGAGAAACCGGAAAAGAAGAGACAGACTGCTCGCAGCTTGAGGAGAGCGCTGGTGGATTTAGTGCTGGGGAAAAGCGGTCAGGAAGTGAGCTGTACCCCAAATGTCTACCACACCACCCACGATGTCACCTGTCTCGAGTCCCCTGATCCTACGATCCACGAGCACACGTCCATATCCTGCTAAGCGAGGTGGCCCTGGACAGCACTGAAAGTAGCACCACCTAGCGTGGGCTGGCCACCCGCGTCTGCCGGGCAAGTCCAGCCTAGTGGTTCCCTTTGGTCGACTTCTTCTTCTTCGACTCCTCTCTTTGCTTCTGCTTCTTCCTCTTGCCACCTTCTTTAAACCCTAAGGAAACACGGCTTGTGAAACAAGGCCACGAGAGCTGGGCGGCCACCAACACCTCCCGTGTTAAGGCGAAAGTGACAAACATGGCCACATCCAGCCTAGTGGAATCTGAGCACTGAACCTTGGCCCTTGCTCCGAGGTCCCAGCACACAGGGCAGGAGGTGAGCAGGACACGCCAGCAGGGCAGGGGCTCCGCCTGTCCTCAGCCTCCGCACCGGAACTATTCTTTGTCACCCCCTGCCAAGCTCCCAGCCTGCTCCTGTGTGGCTGGCCTGCTGTGGGGGAATTCCCAAGGCCTGCTGCCTGCCATGAAGAGGCTTCTCCTGCTTGCCCTGTCCTGAGTGCTTACAGCCTGGGACGGCACAACCCACGTGTCCAGCCAAAGCCGCAGGAGAGACGTCGTCCTCTGGGCAAAGGGCTGTGTTCAGCCCCGCACCGACTGCCCGGCATCCCACCCACACCAGCGCGACTGGGCACAGCACCCCAGGGAGCCCCGACGCCAGCCTCCTCCAGAGGGGAGGGAGGTCCTCACGCTGGCCACCCAGAATGCGGAGCAGGGAGCCGCACGGGCTGTCTCCTCAGAGCAGGCACGGTGTCAGGCTCAGGGCAGGCCAGCGTCACCCCGCACCGCAGCCCAGGGCCCAGCCTGGCTCTCAGGACAGGCGGCTGTCTTCAAATACACACAAGGTTGAAGGATCCGTTCGTTCTTTCACTCAAAACCTTCGTCGCGTCGCATACTTAAGTTTCGCTTTCTAGGCTCACGCGTCCCAGACAGGTGTGGAGCCCACCAATGCACAGACTGCGGAGCCAGGCCACGTCAAAGCTTCCCTTTTGTGAGTGCTGCTTCCACCTAAGAACCTCCACCCTCCCACAGGCACAGCAGGTTTTCAGGAGGTCAGCGGCTCAAGGTCACAGCACAGCCAAGGAGCAGCCAGGCTGGGGACGAAGCTCAGAGTGGCAAAGGCAAGCGAGCGCTCAGCATGCAGGAGGCCCTCAGGGCCATCCCCAGCACCACAAACACTTGAAAGCCTCACTGTGTCCTGTCCGGGCCACCTGCAGGGCACAGACAACAGCCACGGATCCCCAGCCACGGCCCAAGTCTGACCCACTCCCTCCTGGACTCTGGGGTCACCCGACGGCCCTGCTGCTAGAGCTGTATCCTGCAGAGACTCTACGTGCAGCTTAATCGTGCAGTCTAACCCGGAAAACTCGGGTCCGGAGCGGCAGGACGCAGCGTCCCTGAGCTGGCTCCTCCAGGTGGCTGAGGGCACAGTGCAGCCCTCGCTGAGGCACAGGGTGCAGTCCCTAACAGTCTTGGGGGACACTGTTCATGGGCTTCTTTTTAAGAACTTAGCCAAGACTCCCAAATCCGGCACTGCGACACTTGCAGGATCCATTGTGGAGCACGTGGAAGGAAGCCCGGCGGAGTCCCCTAAGCCCTCTGTACCACGCATTTTGAGGTCAGGGGAGTCTAGGAGCCAGGTGAGCAGGATCTACCTGCTCCTCAGGCCCCGGGTGCCCAGCAGGGGCAAGCTGGAGATAAAGAAAAACCCACAGGTGTGGTTATATGGCACAGCGGCCAGTGGTGCCCGACTGCAGTGTACTCCAGGGCTGTCCTCTGCAGAAGTGGCCTGGACACTCCACCTTCTCGCCTCTAAACAAGGCTATCAGGGCACTCTCCCAAGCCTGCACAGCACAGCACAGCCACAGACGCCAGGAAAATCACCAGGTCCTGCAAGTACACAGGCGACACGCCTGCCCTGGAGAAGAGTCTGCTGGTTCCCCAGGTCGTGACCCTTCCACGACCACAAATGCCAAAGCCATGAGACTCGTGAGGGAAGAACGGCTTTCCGGTTCTTACTAGGAGCTCCACTTGCCCTGGACTGCTCCGCAGTGGCCGAGAGGCCGGGCACAGCCAGCCCTCAGCGGCAGTGCACAGCCGGGGTCCTCTGGGCCAGGGCCTGGCCTCTCTGCAGCTAAGCAGCCTCAGGCCAGCTGCCTTCCTCTGGGGACATGGGAAATGACACAGTGCTTTTCCAGCTGTATACATGGCCCTTCACCCTACAAGCTGCTCTATCTGCACCTTGTCCCGCGACCCTGGCTAAAGCCTTGGACCACCGGGGAGACCAGGTGAAGCCCACAAGCTGGAAAAGCCGCTGAAGCCCAGCATCAGGGCAGCCAGGCACTCCAGCTCCAGCCACATCTGTCTGTGGGTGAGCTCGTCCCATCACCCGCTTCCTGCTCTCAACCCTCAGGGATGCTCAGCTCTGCCCTTAGGAACTGGTCCTCAGAGACAGCTCTGGGAAAGCAAGGGTGTGCCTCGGCCTCCAGCTCAGCACTCCAGAGCACAGCGGTACCCACACAGGAAGTGTTGGCAGCCTCCTCCACATCTACCTGGCTGCACAGTGGGACCTTGGAGCACACACCCCCAACTGGTTTGCAGCCTCCGCAAACCAGATACCCACGACTTCCTGGGGAGGGCGAGTGGGGCAGGGCCTGCACACTTGCTGCCAGTGGTAGAGCAGGGGGGCCCCCACTGGGCACCTGGCTGGCCAGGCCCCACTCTACCTCCAAAGGGAAGCTAATGCGGACAGAGGCAGACCTGGCTGTGGGTATATGGGCGTAAGTGGCAGGCATCAACCCCTAGTTCACGTGACAAGGAGCAGCACTGAGGTGACGCTCAGACAACACACTCGTGCACGTCACGGAACGCAGGCCCTGCTTTAATCATGGCAAGCTTGTGATGGAGGAGCTCAGGCACCACTATCTGTATCACTATCTTGGGGCCTGGCGCCTGGCCCTGGCCCACCCACTCAGGTCAGGATGCAGCAGCACAGGTGTGACTTCTGTCCTCGCTGTCCCGGGTGTGGGCGAGGGTCACGTGGGGGACGCTCCACACCAGATCCCCTCTGCACACCTGCTGAGCTCATGGGGGCATCCCAGCTGCTGGGCCCCTGTGGCCTGTCCTGCTCCTCATCCTCCTCCAGCACGTGGTGTGGTGTGGACCTAGCCACCAGGGTGGGGCGGGGCGGCTTCGGCAGGTGGGAGCTGGAAGGCTGGGCCGGCAAGGCATGCTGGCCTCTCCGCACGCGCTCCTCAGCAAGGGCCTCCTCGTCAGCCACACCTGAAAGGACATTATGAGAGAGCCGTGAGCGCCGCACAGGCGGCTGGCTCTGGAGAAGGATATGGAGTAAAACCCAGACCTGCTCCACCTGAGGCACTGCTGGGCCTGCCCCTCATTTTCAGCAGGGAGAGAAACAGCCCCAAGAAAAACACATCCACCCAGGCTGCTAAGTTCAGTGAGTGGCACACATACCCACGCTGTAGGGCACGTCTGTAACTTCCGGTAGCAGTCAGGCACCACACTACAGAAGCCACGGCTGGCCAGCCACCCACCCTCAGGGGGGTTCTTGGAGCCAACCTACTGTGGGATGCCCTGCAGTCAGCAAACCACATCCACAGCTGTCCCTGGGGCTGTGGCGGCCTACAGGGAGCACCCCTGCCACCCCAGCACCTCCAGTCACTGGGGATTCCAGCCAGGCCTGCGTGCAGCACACCACACAAGTTCCAACACACTAGTTCCTTACTGTCCCAGGGCTGTTCCTGTCAGTCTTTTTAAATTTTTTTATTTATTTATTTACGAGAGAGAGAGAGAGAGAGAGAGAGAGAGAGAGAGGTGTGTGTGTGGCCAGCTCAGCCCACCAGGGGGCGGGGCCGCCCGGCATGTGGTGCCGGGGGATCGAACCGCGGTCCCTGATGCCTTGCTAAGCTTGCTCTAAGTAGGTGCCCTAGACCACTGAGCCATCTCTCCAGCCCCATTTTTTTTTTTTTTAATTTTATTTATTTATGTGTGTGTGTGTGTGGCCAGCTCAGCCCACCAGGGGGCGGGGCTGGCTGGCATGTGGTGCTGGGGGATTGAACCGCGATCCCTGTGCTTTGCTAAGCTTGTTCTAAGTAGGTGCCTTAGACCACTGAACCATCTCACCAGCCCAATGCTATTTTTGTTTTTTTTTTTTAAACTTTTTTTTTTTTCTTTCGGAACCAGGGATTGAACTCAGGCCCTTGCACTTGCCAGAGAAGTGCTTATTCCACTGAGCCATCTCCCCGGCCCCCCTGTCAGTCTTTTGAAAAACAGATACAAGTTCTGCACACTGGGTGGACACCAGGAATAAAATACAAGGGGAAGAATACTGGAGGGTTTCACCAGAACTGCCAGGCAGTCAGACACAGAACTTGTCCCCAGTGTGAGCAGGTGGGACACCCAGCCCTCCGTACTCTCCACTCCTCCGCCTACCGCCTCCTAAAGAGCAGGTGTCTTCTGGCATCTTCCACACCTCACATCACAGCCCCAGCCCAAAGCAAGAGGTATCAAAGGGTCACCTTCCCTTCTGGGGTAAACTGAGGCAGGCAGTCATCCCACGAGCTGGTCGTCCCTTTATCCCCGATTTCCCAATCAGGAAGGCGCATTTACCCGCTGGCATGCAACAACAGGCATGCAGGTGAAGGACTGTACACAGGTGCTCTCATCTGCACGCCACTCGTGGGGCCTGGATCATGGAGCTCCCCACCATGCTCCCCAAGGCCTGGGCCCTGGGGAGATCAGCCAGCCTTGCCCCGAAGCTAAGAACCTGGGTAACCAACACGCTGGGCCAGGGCTCAGGGCGCAGGGCTCGGCTGCCCTCTACCCACTGGCACTGGCCAATCTCTACTGGGCAGCAGTCTCAAAGCTCATCTTCCACAGCTTCAGAGCCACTGCACCCAGCACCTACAGGGCAAGCTGGGAGACCGTGCAGGTGGCGGCCAACATCACCACCCCGCAGCTCCCAGTAGCCTGCAGGTAAGCTAGCCTAGCACACAGACCTGGGCTCTGGGGCTCCCCCGAAAACAGGCGGGAGCGTGCCCAAGATGCGATGGCTGCAGATGAAACCTGCCCAAGCACCCTGGAAATTGCCATCACTGCAGGGCAGCCCCCAGAGGACAGCAGCAGGGGGGTGGGCTGGGAGCAGGCCCCAAGTCCACACTGTATTAGTCACTCTTCCCTCTTTGCTGGGACAAATACCCGACACTCAAAATGAGAAGGAAAGGTTTATTTAGCTCAGTTACTGGAGGTTTCAAGACACTGGAGGAAAGGCTGGGGTGCTGCGGTGTCCAGGATGACCCTCCCCACATCTCTGAGAAAGCACAGGGTAGCCAGTGCCCTTGGGCCCTGTCCCGGCCTTCTGGCCCCGCCCTGGCCTTCTGGCCCCACCCCTCAAGCCACTTGTTGCTCTTCCAGCTGCATCTGCCCCGTAACTTACACAAGGCTTTGCGGGGGACAACTAGACATAAACCATAACATTCCACCCCTGGACCCTCAAAGTCTCATGCATATCCCTTTGTCCAAAAGGCATTTGAGTCCATCTCTAAGACTTGACAAAGTCCCAACAGTTTCAGCATTGCTGATAAGTCCAAGTCCCAAGTCTCCTCCAAGATCCAAGGCAAACTGTCAACTGCGAGCCCCTGTGCAAATGAGAAGTTAAATACATCCCACAGTCAAAGGCACAAGATAAGCACTCTGCCATTCCAAAAGGTGTACACCGGAGGATACAAACCATCAGGGCCAAAACAAGTCCAAAATCCAGCAGGGCAAACATTAAGTCCTATAGTTCCATGTGGAACATCCGAAGCAATCTGGGGCAAACTCTGAGCTCCCTGTGGCTCCGCCCTTACAGCACTTCTGGTGGTGGTAGCTCCCGTGGCTTTTCTCTTAGGCCGGCTTTACTCCCTCTTTGCAGTTTCCCTTAGATGATCCACGTTCCCGGCTTTTCCAAATTTCTGGGGTTCCCACTGAAGAGAACTTCACACACTGCCCTCTCAAGGACACACTGCCTGGCCTCCAGGCCTTCTTCTCAAGTCAAGGTGGGAGCCTTCTTAACCCCAGAACTCCTGCACTCTGCAGGCACCTAGAACCAACGTGATGTAGAGAACGCCAAGGTCTGCTGCCAGCTGGATCAGTAGCCCGGCCTTCCTCTCCCGGCTGCAGGAGCCAAGTGCCTGGTCACCAGCCCTCTGACCCTGACTCCGAGAAACAAACTCTCTATGCCAGTGCCTTTCTGAAACCTGTTGCCGCCGCTGCGTCATTCTGAAACAAGGGGCTCTGCAGATTTCTAGTCAAAGCAAAGTCCCTTACGCTTGGGGCTCTCGGGCTGCAAAGGGTGGAGCCTTGCTGCCTCCTCTGATGCCCTCAGGACATCGTTTACTCTCCTGTTCCTCCTGGGCAGTGGAATATTTGCTCTATCTTTGCAGTCCACAGCCTCCCCGGTGCTTCCTTTCTGGCCAAACTCACATTTTAAATCATTCTGCTGGGCTCTTTGCTCTTAATTCTCAACATAAATCTAAGAGCCCCCAACAATAACCATGCCACTGCCCCATTATTTGACTGCTTTGAGATTTCCTTTGAAAGATTAGTCAGTCCTCCATGTTTAATTTCTGTCTCAGGCAGTCTCTGGACATGGGCAAAACTCAAACTTTCTGCCAAGCCAAACCACAAATGATCTAGAGTTCAACAACCAATGTGGTCCTCCTTCCCAGCAGAACCTCCCCAGCCTGATCTTTACAGGCAGGCTTTCTATCAGTCTTCTGGCCTGAGCTCTGACCAGAATCTTCCCTACAGAACAGCTGAAGGTGTTCCAGCGCTGTGCTTGTAAGTGACATCTCCAAACCTTTCCTATCTCTTCCCATCAGCCATTCGTAACAGCTGGTAATCCACATGGTCAAATTTAGCCACAGCAACGACCCCATTTCTCTGGTACCAAATTCAGTCACTCTTCCCTCGCTGGCACAAATACCCAACACTCAAAATGAGGGAAGGAAGTTTATTTAGCTCAGTTACTGGAGGTTTCAAGACACTGGAGGCGAGGCTGGGGCACTGCCGTGTCCAGGATGGCTCTCTCCATATCTCTGAGGAAGCACAGGGTGGCCAGTGCCCCTGGGCCCTGCCTGGCCCGCTGGCCCCGCCCCTCAAGCCACTTGTTGCTCCTCCAGCCGCATATGCCCCATAACTTACATGAGGCTTTGCGGGACAACTAGACACAAACCATAACACACACCATCCCTGGAGTCTATGGGGGAAGGGTCAGCAACAAGCCTCGGAGGCCTGAGGACAGCAGACATACAAGATGGACGAAGTCACTGACACATGCAGGCGATACACTGGAAAAACAGAAGCCATGCTTGTCCATCTGGCCACATCCTGGTGCTCGCAGGGCTCTGGGGTCATCTCCACTGGCCCTATGGCACCACAGTCAGGGGCCACCAAGACACACAGGAGTGAGCATGCAACCTGGGCTTGTGGGTCTGTAAGAGCCAGAAGGCAGGCACTAACTCTAGACCCTCCAAGGCCAGGCCTGCCCAGCTACCAGACAGAACCACCCCAGTCTGAGCCAACGTTTAGAAAGCATACTTTCGGGGCCGGAGAGGTGGCTCAGTAGAATAAGCACTTGCCTGGCAAGCGCAAGGGCCTGAGTTCAATCCCAGTTCCGCCAAAAAAAAAAGCGTACTTTCCAACTCAAATGTGAGAAAAACACCCAGCTCCAGGTACGCGTCCCACACTGCCCACTGTGTGCGGGCCTCCCTCACTTCACTTACCTCAGTGGCTGCTGACTCCATCCCCTTCGCCTTCCCACCCTTCTCTGAGTACAGGCAGGGGTGGGGCCTGGGCCATGTGAAGGCACGCTCTCCATCACCTGCACTCCCGTCCACACCTGCAGCACGCCAGGAGGGTGACTGCAGCGGCCCCACTCCAAGTGTTCGCCCCCACACCTCACGGGCCCAATGGGCACTTAGTCCTTAGAGCCCCGACATACAAGTTGGAATGCCCGAGTTCCTGGGATTTCAGAAGTCCCTTGGCAACCATGTGTGAAGGGGAATCTGGCTCTCTGGATGGCTGGCTTGCCCCCAGGCTCCCTGAACCTTGCCACCAACTCTGCTCAGGCCAGGTTACAGAAACTCCCATTACAGCCTGTCTAGAAAATGAAATCATGCCCCAAACACACCATGAAGAGACACACTCAGTGTTCAACATCATGGCCACCTCAAAGCCCCACTGTATTAGGCCCACTCCCGAAGCATGTGCCACCCTCGTGTGCAGCAGGTGTCGGGGACACCTGTAGGCTCCTGCTCAGAACCCAAGGGCCAGTGTCCCCTGGAGCAGAAGGCTGCAGGCCCTTGGAGGGGCCCAGAATGGACAGCAGCCCCACCATAAAGCTCTCCACACCCGACCCACCCTCTCTGGAAGAGTGGCTGCCCCTCCTGAAGTGTCCCTAAGTGCAGCTCTTCCTTTCCTGGCCCCTGAATGAGGGAGGGCCAGGCAGAGGAGAGCCTGCAATGGGCACACTGGCCTCACATCTGGGGGCCAGGGGAGGGGGGCAGCGCTGGGCGCACTGGCTCATCAGCTCACCCACACAGCCTGCATCCCGAGGCCGGTGGGTTTCTGTGCCCCAAGCCCATCAGGCCATCTCTGCACCTCAAGGAAGCAGGGTACCCTCTAACCAACTGACAACAAGGCCTTGACACCAAAAGGTCCTCAAAAATCTGAGCGTCTGAGAAGTGAGTGAGGAAGAAAGTAAGGGTAGCACCCTGCTTGGCAGAGTGGCACAGCCTGGAATGCCCCTGCTAGCGCACACTCACGATGGGGCTGCAATCCGTACGGCTCACCACCAGGTGGCACTGCACCACTGGTTACAGCCTGATGGGACACCTCGCACGCAGAACCACCTGCCTGGACAACTTCATGCGACCCTGTCTCAAAATGTTGTTTTTTTTTTAAATCTTCTATTGATTGATTTGGGACAGGGTCTTGCTGTGCTGCTCAGACAAGTAGTGATCCTCCTGTCTCAGCCTCCCCAGCACTGGGATTACAGGCATGCACCACCATGCCCAGGTTTGGTGGCCAGCGCAACGTGCCTAGTGTTCTGGGGCCAGCACAGCATGTAGTACCAGAGATGGAACCGGGGTCCTTATGCTTGCCAAGCAGGCACTTAAGACTGCCAAGCTATCTCCCTAGCCCTCAAAATAGTTTTAGAAAAGGCTTGGGAATACAGCTCAGTGCTAGAGCTTCCGAGGTGGAAACCCAGTACTAAACGGAAAAAACTCAAGATGAATCTGTCTCTCCTACATTCTCAATGCGCACTTCCAGGAAGCAAGCCCTCAGCCTATTCCCACCATCCGATGCCCAAAGACATGAGAATGCCAGCACCCCTCCAACAGGGCAAGTTTATGGTTAGCTGTGGAGATGTACACCCCTGAAATTTATCCTGCACCCAATGTAAGGGACCGGCCCTTGGATGCTGTCAGCAGAGTCTCCACAAGTCCCAGGGATGCCCAAAGCAGGCTCAGCCAGCATGGACCACACCTAGCCAGGCCCAAGAGTTCCAGAGCCTCCTTCTACCCACCCCTCCTCCACCATCAATCACCCTGCACAGTGGCTCCTGGGGCACCTGCTAGGCCACACACCAAAGGCATCACTGGGCAGGCAAGCCCTAGACAGCCCTCGATACCAATTTCTTGCTATCAGCCCATGTTGACTTCTGCCTCAGTGCCTCCCCCCCCCCAAGCATGCAGCACCTCTAGGCTTCATGCTCCGATGCTCCACCTATGGGGGTCCCTGACACCACTAATTCCCAGGACCTACAAGCCAGCTAGGCCTGATGCCAGCCACCTGCAACCCACACCTGTAATCCCAAGGACCTGCCTGTCTCCATGTGGTAGGTTGGAAAGGGCTCAAAGACACAGGTCCAATTCACACACACAGGTGACCTTCACACTGCCCACAGCAACGCTGTTCATCCCAATCCCAGTTGACAGGAGGGCGCTGGGATTCCAGACAGTAGTATCTCTCTGCTGCACTAGCTGAGCCCACGCTTCGTACCCACAAAGCAGCCCAGTTTTGACAAAGACTGTCTTCCAACAACGTCCCTGCAGGGCAAACAGGGCAGGGAAAGGGGCTGACCGCAGTGCTCTTGCCACCAGGTATGGCAGTGATCAGGACAAACTGCAAGGAGCCGGGAGGACAGCAGGCAGCACACCTGAACACTGCTGCAGACAGACCAGCTCTGCTGCACTTGGGTTCCGTAACGTGAGAGAACACCAAAATGTAACTCACACAAGTTCCTCAATCTACCCTGGTATGAGTAAACAGCCCAGACAGGGTGGTGCATGTCTAACCCAGCACTCAGGAAGCCAAGGTGGGAAGACGGTGAACCCAAGGCCAACACGCACTCCACAGTACACCTTGGCCTACATAGAGAGCCTGTCTCAAAAAAAGGAAAACAATCCATCTTACAAGCAAAAGTGACTCACAGCGCCTCAGAGTCCACCACACTGTGGGGAGGGCACCCTATGACGGGAAAACACACTGAGCACTGCTGTCCCGTCGCCACCCTCGAGAAGCACAATACCCACCCACCCCAACTGCACAATGACCAAGAGGGTGCCAAACACTCCCGCCCCCCAAACACCCAGGGCCATGCAGTCCTAGCTGCACACAAGATGAGGGACATCCCTCCATGAGGAGCCTGTGTGCCCTGCCAACAGTGCACCTGGGCCTCCACCAGCAGCAGGCCTGCCACGGAGGCAAGTGTGTCACCATCCAAGTGCTGCCACCACCCTCAGGGCCATCAGTGCTGGGGTGCATGGGGTGCCGAAACACCACACCAGAGCAGACAGCTCAGAGGACCAGACCATCTTTCACTCACTGCCTAACAGCCACATCATGCCCATCTCCAATGACAGTTCAGCTGCCATGGGCAGCCGTCTTCCAAGTCAAGGCAGCCTGCGGGGGGTTGGGGGTGGGGGGGGGACCCAGACTGGGGCTACCAGGAGATGGTGCCTGCCAGCACGAGCCGAGCATGGCAACCGAGCACAGCGCCTGCCTCAGGGTGTGTACATCCCGACCAGAGCCGCCCAGGCTCCTGCCCTGCCATTCGTTTTGCAAAGAAACTGAGAAGGGCCGGGTCAGCTGTATGGAAAAGCATCAAC